GTTTTAAGCGATTTTGTGATTTTCAATGCATTGTGTTACAGGTAATAGGAATTCTGGGCAAAATACTCTGACAGCATTAATTGTTATACATTACATGCCTTTTATTTATTAATGTTTTAATGTTATTGTAATTCTTATTAAGGAATTGTTATTACCTAGTGGCTTGGCAGCTGCTTTAATACAAACTAGTTTCCTTTCCATTTTGGATATTTTGTTGACAGTCCTCAAAAGTGCAATAGATCTTTTTCTGTTGTAGAAATCCTTAGTCTTCTGGAAATGTAGCTTTGAATATTACATAAAATTCATTCATTTATTTTCAGTACATGTAGGCTTACACATATTTCTGTTTTGAGTGGAAACTGGACAAACCACTGTAAACCCAGGCTGATTCCACTTAGCCTGACCTTCTGTATCCTTTGATGTGGTTTATTACATTAATCATATAATGCAGATTCCGGCATTATTGTAGACTCAAAGGCAAAATATGAATTTTTGTGTAAAAAGCAATGTTGTCCACTATGGACCCTTTCTATTCCTTGATAAAGGCTTTTTTTCTGGCTGTTTCTCAGAGAAACCTTACGGCTTACCTACCCAGCCAGCATTTTACCTGCTCTCACCATAGTGTTCCAGGACGAAAGGCCTCCTTTATAAATAATAAATGAAGCTGCTAGTTCTTTAAGTTTGTTGTTGATCGTTAAGCCCCCGGGGGATAAACCACAGAGGAATGTAATAGCAAAATGCACTAAAGGTTTATATTATGCATAGTTCATCAACACATCTGGCAAGCAAAGTCAACCCATCATAAAAGTTTGGACACTTGTTGGTCTAAAACAGGGGTGGCCAATCTTATCCGCAAAGGGCCGGTGTGTATGCAGGTTTTTGGGATAACCTGTAGGTCAGCTGTTCAAACCCAGGTGTGAGGACTCTTCAGCCAATCAGTCCTCTGATTAGTAATCTAATTAGGGAGTTGCAGCGAAAACCCGCATACACACCGGCCCTTTGCGGATAAGATTGGCTACCCCTGGTCTAAAACATCTGGAATGTGTGGGGAAAAATAATCAGGAAATTGCACCTCTCACGACACAATATTTCAGGTAAACATTTCCCTGTATGACTGAGTTCAGTAGGAAGGTTTGTATTGTGATTTGGGTAAATGACTGCTGTACGATAAAGACTAATGATGCCCAAGTAGAGTCTCCTTCTTTTACTTGCTGGCTCATTGAAAGATGGCCCCGTTCATAAAATGGTTTAACACCCTGCAGTTCCAAAACACCCCCACACACAGCAGTGCAGAAAAGCCTGAGACTCAATGTTCTCTGATAATAGCTGCATAGGTTGATGCCTTTTAAAATGTTCACTTTCTTGTCCTGGATTATTGCTCTTTCTAAAATGCTGTAATGCTTCTTTAAGGGAACTAGATTGCTTATTTCTTCTGTATGAGTAATCTAAAAATGGGTTGTCATAACATTTAAATTGCTCTGTCTGCCGTAACAAACGTCACTGGAGTGTTTGAGAGGAGGTCCAGTACTTTGATTATGTTTTAATCCATGGACTGTAGCATATGCATGTATATAGCACGTTGGGAAAACAAAATACAATAATAATTTAATAATTTAATAATTCATTTTATTTATAGGTGCCTTTCTAGACACTCAGGGACACTTTGATGCATGGGAAGGGTATCTGTCCCACATAAATATAATCATTGTAAGAGTATTTGTCCCACATAAATATAATCATTGTAAGAGTATTTGTCCCACATAAATATAATCATTGTAANGTCCCACATAAATATAATCATTGTAAGAGTATTTGTCCCACATAAATATAATCATTGTAAGAGTATTTGTCCCACATAAATATAATCATTGTAAGGGCCATTGTTCTTCATGAATATCAACTTTTAGAAAGCTACTGACTTCTTCATGTGTCAGTGTTTGAAGAAGGCATCTTCTAGAAATGGGCAGTAGATCTTGTGGCAAATGTTTATACCATCTGCAAGTCAGAAAGGTCTGACATTGTAGCCCACATCATCTCTCCTGCACCACCTTGTTGGTGCTTGAAGATGGTGTCCTTCTACTGGCCCATCCATCTGCTCCATGAAGATTCACTGTCATCTCCTCTGTTCACAAAACCTTTGTAACATCAGTATTGAGACGTGTCCACGCTCATTCTCAATATTTTACCTTGCATGCCTTATTGAGTTGAGGTCATGTTTTGGCCAAGCAGCACACTGCACCTAGTACTACCGGAGATTCCGTTCAGATTGCAGCTTTGCCAATGGTGCCATTTGATGCTGAAGAGTTTCTGGAAGTCTCCCCTTTAATTGGACACAGATTTTTGGCAGTTAATTTGTGTCTTCTTCTTGGCTGTTGATCACAAAACACTTGACTGCAGTGATCACGTTTCAAAAGCCTGGAGATTTCGATTGTTTTGCGTCTCTCTCTCTAGCACTTTAAAGTTTTGTTTTTTTCTTATTTTCTCTGTAAGGTCCTTTTTTGGCCTATTTTAATATTAATAATAATTTGCTTAATGATTCAGCACAAAAAAGTATCTGTGTTTTCCTTTTTTACTCCAGACAGTACTCAGACCAAAAATGGCACATGCTCTGGTTGTAAACAGTTCATTCTTAATTAGAGATTCATGTGGACTAAAATATTGGTCAGAAGAGAAGATACAAGTCAAATACACACTTGCCTAATAACACAGTGTATACAATGAGAGTGAGGCTTGGGGTCAGAGCGCAGGGTCAGCTATTTATTTTGCACTCCTAGAGTGCTACACAACACAACACTACACTACATCACACAACACTACACTACACCACACAACACTCCACTACATTACACAACAATACACTACATTACACAACACTACACTACACTACATCACACAACACTACACTACACTACACCACACAACACAACACTACACTACACCACACAACACTACACTACACCACACAACACAACACTACACTAATAAATCAAATTAATGAAAAAGAAAAACTAAAAAAAATAGGTTAGACATTACATGTTTAAAACTATGAGTAAGACTTATTTTGCACCTTGATTTTTAATTATTAATGAAGTGCATTCATTTCGCCATTTTATTATGAAAAATCTCTTCATTCAGTCTTTTTTTAGAGTATAGCCATCAATGAAAAATAATGTAAAATTATTTGATTCCACCATGACAGATGCCAGTTATGTTCAAAATGTATAAAGAAGTGGAGTTGAACAGCTCCTTTCATAGTTGTATACAGGATATTTTAATTTCATAACAGGTGAACATTCACTTTAGGTACAGTTACCTTTCTGCGTTCTGACTGTGGAAAGAACAGCACAAAGTTGGACGGTCATAATGAGCAGATTAAGGCCACATCCACATTTTTATTGCTTGCAAAATATATGGAAACTTGCAATGAATCAGGGTTTGTTCATTTGATCCAATTTTGCTATACGATTGAAGAAAGAAATCACATATAATCACAAATAGCTTAATTAAAATGATAATGCCACAGGAGTAAGAGAAATGGTTATCTAAGTATTTAGTTGCATCATAGTGGAGAAATTCAACCACGGTTTGGATGAGCAGAGGAACCCTTTGCAATGAAGTGCAGCTAAGCTAAGAAAGGTATTAGGAGAATACTGTTGCCATGGTACCAGTTGTCTGAAGCACAATAGGGTGAGCAGATACTTTTATATTACTCTGTTGCTTCCCTTCCTTTATTCTGATAGCTGTAACTACTGTACCTTTTGTGAATAATACCATAGAGATACTCAAACTACTGAATAAGCTATAAGGTACAATTCTCTTTATATGCACATATACATATTGTCAATTGTTTTGAAAGGAAAAATGTGATTTCATTTCTTCATGTGATAAAACTGAGTTTATATTATATTATATTATATTATATTATATTATTTTATATTATATTATATTATATTATTATTAATATTGCCCCCTGGGGAATATGAAAACTATCTCTACTCTAGTAACTTTAAAAAAACTATCTCTACTCTAGTAACTTTTTGTCTTCCTTCACTTCCAAGTGGACTCTGAGTATGAAGTGCAAGGATTGTTTGACAGCAGCTAACTTTTATCTGGTGTTTGTGTAGGACGTGTTGGACAGGTTAGGTCACCCTTAGGTCACACCACAAAGCTTGCACAGATTGGACGTAATCAGATATGTCGGTTCCTTCTCCACAGTGGGTTCCTTCCTGAGTTTTACTGCTGAGACCATGGGTACTGAAAACAGTGAAGTGGCATCAGTTTTAGTGTTTTTCTGCTTTTTCTTATCCAAATACACATGTCACTCAGGATAAGACGACCAGCTCAATGCGTTTAAATGTTTCTTGTCCAGCTCATGTTCATATCATTGTTGTAGGGATTATTTGCTTGTTTCATGTGTTGGTTTGTTTGTTTGATTAGTTAGTTAGTTGGTTGCACTCTGCAAAGTGCCCTTTGCTAATATCACTCTACTAAACAAAGCTTAATTGTTTGAATTAAATGCTTCAGCGCTTGTGAATTCCCCTGGAGTGTGATCTGCAGAGGTCTCATGTTGATGAGAATAGTCCTGTCATTCCAATACCATTATAAGAACCACACCCAGTACAGTACAACCTTGAGCAGAAACTTCTCACTTCAAGAGAACATTCGCAGCTTCCGTTGAGGGTAGCAAGCGAAAACTGACTGCTATGCATTACATTTTATAATATACCATGCAGTGTTTTATTTATATCTGTCAAGAATTATTAAAAATGGTTCAGGGTCTGCATATTTTATACTTAAATTTTAATTATGAACAGCAGATTCATGGTCAGTCAATGTACAAGTTTCTCTGTGGTTACCTTCACCATGCAGTGGTAGAAGTGTGGCTTGGGGTTAGGGTTAGGTTTAGGTTTTCCACGATTTAGAATTTCAGAATCAGTGCCTTATTCACTCACGATTTCCAGCAACTGACTGACTGCTTCTTAAATCTTTTGTGTTTTCAGATGGCCTACAAAGCCTGGTTATGTTCAGAATATTTCAGTGCCACCCAGAGCCAGTGCCTCCACAGGATTCCCTGCCAGCAGTACTGCCTGGAGGTTCAAGCCAGCTGCCCCTTTGTGCTGCCTGACAATGGGCATCTGGTTTATGGGGGATTATCCAGTTTCATCTGTACAGGTGAGTATCAGTGACCTGCTTCCTTGCTCAGGTAGCTGCACGTGTTCGTAGGTGAGTCAGGATATGCGCTTTTTCTGGTCATCTACTACTTTATATCCACCTAGCCTTAATATTTTTATATCCACTTCTGGTTTTGTTCATGCTCAGATACACAAATACACAAAACTGCTTGAATATTATAGGTTCAGATCATAGGGCATTTCTTTACATAATTTGAAATGCTCCAATAAATCATATTTCATTGTGTAAATTGATACAGACTTATATTTAATTACCATTTATTCATCTTCCATAACTGATTGTGTAGTAGAAACATAAGTAAGTACAACTGGTCCTTTCACAAAATCATACCGTTTGATGAAATAAATATATATATATATATATATATATATATATATATATATATATATATGATCTGGATGATCAGGGGATGCCAATGAGGACACACTTGCTGCTTCCTCATCCCTTACCTGATTCACCTCGAAGGCTTAGCCATAGTAGGTGTTGGTCCCGTACATGATGTGCGGACACCTTTTCACTTTGCGCACGAGCACGTCCGTTTCCTCGGGTGAAATCTGATCTGGTTTGCCAGGTAAACACACCGTTTTACAGTGAGGGAAATAATAATTTCACCCCCGGTTGCATTCCTCAATTCACCCATTTATAAAGAAATGAGAAGTCTATCATTTTAATGGAAAGTTTATTTTAACATTAAACAAACAAGAAAAAAATCATTATGTAACAGGTACAAATCAATTTGGCATGTATCTACGGAAATAATTATTTGATCCCCTACAAGCCAGCAAGAAATTAGGTCAAGTAGTGCAACACAAGTAGTATTTAATTAAGTATTAGTAGATACCAAGCCAGCATTCACATTTAATAGCAGTACTTTGTTAAATAGTATTCTTGGGTCACTAACCTGTCTACATCTTCAACCTTATCACCATGGGAAATACCAAAGAGCTGACTAAGGACACCAGAGACAAGATTGTTGACTTTCGCAAAGGTGGAATGGGCTGCATGACCATCAGCAAGCAGCTTGGTGAGAAACTGTTGGTGTAATTATTTGCAAATGGAAGAAAGACAAAACCACTGTCAGTCACCCTCGGTCTGGGGCCCCAAGGAAGATCTTATCTCATGCAGCATCAATGATCTTAAGAATGGTGAGGGCTAACCCCAGAACTACACAGGAGGAGCTTGTTAATGATCTCAAAGCGGCAGGGACCACAGTCGCTAACATATTATGGCGTTATGGTTTGAAATCCTGCAGTGCTCACAAAGTACCCCTGTTCATTGCATGTTAGCAACAAAACACGCCAGTGAATAATTAAGGCCAATCAATGTCCAGTATATTGTTGAGCTCCTTCTTCCTTATACAGCTACCCCTTCCCTCTGGTCAGTAGGTACTGGAGTCCTAGTGGCACAGCACCACTCCCTTGCTTGTCTTCTATGGGTGGCAGGGCCTTCAGTTGCTGAGCTCCAAAACTTTGGAACTCACTACCACAAAGCTTCCATATCTTTTTACTCAGTGATTAACTTCCCATACTTGTTCCTAATGCTGTTGCAGTTTTTCTTGTATGTCCCATTCAGTGTGTTAGCTTATGGTAATTGATCTGTCTTCATATGTTCCTCTGTTCTTGTATTTCCATTTTCTGAATTCCTCCCAATGACATTTATATCTTGGTAGTGTGCTTGGCCCCATTTTTGCTGCTTGCAGCTATATTTATTATTATTATTATTAGTAGTAGTAGTAGTAGTAGTAGTAGTAGCAGTAGCAGGAGCAGTGGTAGTAGTAGAAGTAATAATAGTTGTAGTAGTAGCAGGAGCAGTTGTACTAGTAGAAGTAATAGTAGTTGTAGTAGTAGCAGGAGCAGTAGTAGTAGTAGAAGTAATAGTAGTTGTAGTAGTAGCAATAGCAGGAGCAGTGGTAGTAGTAGAAGTAATAGTAGTTGTAGTAGTATTAGTAATGTTGTTGTTGTTGTTATAACAAGAACAACATAGAACTTGACCTCCTAATGTTTGTGTGGGTTTCCTTCAGTTTCCTCCACAGGACATTGTGTAATGTCATGGGCTGCCAACTGCCTGACTCAGCCCTGACCAGGATCAGTTCCTGGAAGATGAAATAAATCACATATTTTACTAGTTTTTTTTTTTTAAATTCAGATCAATCATTTTAAATAACAAATACTTCAATACTCCAAAAAGAAAGATAAAAGAAAAGGTGCTGCTGTGGTCTCGTGTATTTCATCCACTGAATTTCAAACAGAAATGTGTCAGCCTATACAAATACTGCCCTCCAGTGACAGCATTAGGCAATGACAACAGGCCGGGCCAGGCTGGAATTAGTTCAATATGAAAAAATACATAACCATTTTCAAAACACAAAAGTAAATAAGGCTTTAAATTATTTTTAATATGTGACGTCATGAATGTTATGTGATTATCTGTACTTCTAGTTTATAAATGTACTACATCAAATGTTCCCATTGTGTGACAGTAAGCATTATCGAGTCATTCTATAATATAATTTTAATTACATGACAGCAGGTTGTTTTTATGAATTTTACGAAATATTTACTTCAAGTAGTTATCAATTTTATATTGGGACACATTTATTTTAATATAAAAAGTAAACAGGTTCCATCATTTATTTTGCAGAAAATATACTGGAATTCACTGTCCGATTTGCTAAAGGTCAAGTTATACTCTTCAACTTATCGTTGTTACCCATTGACAAAGCCCCTATAACTCAGCAATAGTTTGCTCCCAAGTCACATGACCAACACCCCATGATGTCACTTCCTTCGGTGGAGGGAATTTTAAATGCAGTGTGGAAAGTTTCTTTTTCAGTATTTCATCAATATTATTATATGCACATAGAGTGGGTTAATTGACTGTCAGTTGTGTTATCAACATGTTCTTGTGTACTTGCTTTAGATTTTATATTTATAAAAATGTAGAGAAGGTTGTTTAAACATGAGTTGATTGATTGATGAGGTGACATGTTTGCACCTAGCAGTTAGCACAAGGGTCTAAAATGAAAGAAATATCAACTGTGTTACGATCAAGTATAACACAGATGACAGTGTTTGTAGGGTATATTGTCATAGTTTATGCTTACATTGAGTGTTTTGATTTAAAAAAATCAGTAACTATTTTTATTATACACAGATTGCATGGTAAAATATGAACAAGTGCAATTACATTTAATTTACAGGTATGCCTCGTACAACATCCGTCCAAACAACGTTTGTGTTAATGTCCATAGTCCATAAGGATATAACAGGAAAAAAATCGCGATCTAACAATCGGACGTAGCGAACGCAGAAAAGAGCATCACGCACATGTTTCTGTGTACGTCACGCACGTGTGCGGTATGTAAACAAAGCCCTGTGAATTTAATCAGGCATAACGTAGCCTTACGCAGTACGTGTTCACGTAACATCCAGTTTCACAGAAGATAACATGGACATTAAATGCGGTGCCTGTACATGTATCAACAGAACAATGATTTCATGAAGTATGGATCATTTTCATATGATTCAGTGGTTTGAAAGGATGTGTTCCTGCTGACATTTGTGTAGTTTCACCCATGAGACATATGGTGACAGATGTGAACTGTGAACTGTGTAAAATAAAAAAAAAAACATGAAAGAACAAAACCAACTGGAAGATAAACTATGATTAGATGACTATGAGTTGTAAAGGACTGTTTGTGAAGAAAAATAATTCAGTATTAACATCATATGCTTAAAAAAATAATGAAATGTTTGATTTTTCTATTGTGTTGTTAGAGTTACTTGTTGTAATGTGTAATGTGGATTTATGTTGAAGAAATAGTCATCCTTGATGGCATCAGTGCACAGAAAATCCATTAACAAGCTCAAATTTCAAATTTTCAAATCATTTAGACAGAAAACTTCAAAACACCTGGTGAATAGACTCAAGAACTTTCAGACACGTTCTATAAAATGTCTTCTTGTGACACAACTTTTGTCTGTAACACAGTTGGCAAAATAATGAATTATGAAATAATGAATGTTTCATTTAAATATTTCAAAAATCATTAGAGCTGAAGCTTGACAACTAATATATTTAGCACGTTATGAGGGTATATTGTGGAAACAAGTTGACTATTTAGCAGAAAAATCACTTTTTGGCTGATATGAAATGTACCTGTAATTATAGAATGACTCTATTAACGATAGAATAGCTGTCAAATGGGCTCCGGACCCCTTGTGACACTGTATAGACCAAGCGGTTACAGAAAATGGATGCATGCATAGCTGTCAAATGCACTTTTTTAAAAATGTAATATTTGGGTTACATGTAAATTATAAAGGAGAAATTATAAAGTTTTATTTCATTGATTTCTTCCATTTTCTCTCTCCGATTCTTTCATGTCACAGGGCTACTAGCAAAGCGGGTAAGCGGCGCGGAGGCAGAGTGCTGCGACCTGAGGTGGAGCGACTGCCGCTCAGCGGTGCAGACTGCCTGCGGCGGCTCCTTCGCTCCCAGGCGCGCCTCACAGCCCGCATCAGCAGCCGTGTGTCTCCACGGCAGCCGGGTCAGGCTGTGTGTGCTGGTGCTCATCCTGCTGCACACCGTCGTCACCTTTTCTGCCGTCACCGACCACAGTGGGGTCAGCTTGGAGGCCCTGGCTTCCATGGACGACAACTCAGCCCGAGAGGAGTGACCGTCACCTAGTGCCATTTAGGAAAAATCAGCGTCTGTCAATGGCGTGACACAATTAAGGGCCTGAGGGATGTGGCAGGGGGGCAGGGGGTGGAAGATGCCCCAGTGTTCTCCCAAAAAATGAAGGAATGGTTGGTGTTCAGGAAATGTTTGAGTACAAGTGGCCTTTGTTCAATCCTTCAGAAACCTAGACAGGTGATACTGTAATAAAAATCTTCAGAAAAAATGTTTGAAATGTTACTGATGATTTACTGTCAACTTCCCCAGCTTAAATAATTTTCATTATACCATCTTATTACCAGTAAAGATCTCCAGTAAACACACTATTGTTTTTCGTGAGTACAGGGTACAGGAAACAGTGGATGGGATACCAGTCCCCCAAAGGGCATGCAGAGGGGTATCAGAGGGAAGTCCATATGCAGAAGCCTGTGGGTGTGAGGCCACAGTACCATGCTCTGAACCTACTCTCCTGCCGCGAGACACTTTAGCTGTTTTAATATGCATTCAAAGTCTCCATCTATATGGAAGAGTAAAGTTGATTGCATGTCATAATATATTTTTCATAATTATTTGAATGCCTAATAAGAAAACTGGATAGAAACAAACATGCCAACAAAGTTAAAAAGGATATATGTTAGAAAAAAACATTATTTAATAAAATTGCTTATCTTTTGGCTTATGGCACCCAAAATAATGTATTTCACCAAAACCGATGTTTTGTTCTGCCAGTATGTGATGTAGAGGATCTCTTTTTAGCATTTTCCCAAAGTAAGAAGGAATTGCAAGGCCTAACCTATCATTTAAGGAGAAGGATCTGCAAACCCTCACCGGGAGTTTGTACAGTAAGTAATCAGTCCTTAAGTTTAAAACAGGCTCATTTCTTGGGCTTATTATGTAACATTAAATGTTTGATTTATGCACTCACTGTTCAAGTAAACATCATATTATTGTGATATGTAATATAAATGAAAAAGAAAAGAAATGCCAATATTTTCAACATGACAGGCGCCTTTTTACAACGCTATACTGAGATGTTTATACATGATAAAAAATTAAAGTGTTGATGCATATAATTCATGCTGAGCTATAGGAGAGTTTTGTAAGACCAAAAAGGCCACTTCTACTCTTTTTTCCCTAAACGTCATAAATGGATGTTTTCCCTCTAATGGAATAGTGGACCCTCTTTATTAAACATTCACCTATTGTGGTGAAAGTATGATGCTGACCTAGACATCGTCGCTAAGCCTGTATTCTTTAGGGGAACACATCTTGTGCCATTTAATACACTGTGCTTTAATGTTTAGGACTTTTGCACTAGTTCTAATAATGTTTATTTTCTCAAATGGTTTGGAAACTGCTACTTTATTCAGTTGTATATCAAGTATTACATCTGTGTTTCGAGTCTTTGTATCTGTTTTCCGTTTCTGTTGTGTTTGAGCAGAACAGACTCTGCTCGATGTTTTACCTCAATAAAGAAAAACAAGCTTTCATTCTATACTTACAGCCTCCTGTTTTCTGAGAGGGAAAGGTTAAGAAAATTAATTTAGCATTATGTTTGACTATTTATACATTTTAGTATTTTACTTGTTTATAAAAATATTCAAGCCAAATGCTCTGAAAGTATTTTGATTTAGAAATAAAATTAGAATGAGAATGCCTGACCCCTAGTTGTGTTCTATTCTGCTTGTTTGCCTTGTTGGACAGCCCACTCCACATATTTTCCTGTGGTAAACATTTCCGTTGATGTATTTCACAATAACAGCATAATATTGAACACTGATGTGATACTCTAGGTAAAATGGCTAGATGTCTGAGGTCTTGTTTTTGCATGCACATGTTTTGGTAATGTTTTGCATGCATAGCTTTAATGTTTGCACTTTAGCAAAATGGCCAACTTGGGTTTACACACAATATTGTTCCTGGTGAATCTGATGCATAGTAAGGGTGTAAACCCCTTTTAGTAGAATAAAATTCCATCCCCAAAAATTTCATTTTCAGTCTCCTAAATTAATTCCTCTGTCAAGCCACTTCTCCCAACATGAAACCACATTAAAAATTAAGCTTATGTATAGATTTATGATTTCTAAAAAAATGTTGTTCACATGTGATCTTGGATTTGAATTGTATGATGTAATATATGACCCTTCTATCAATATTTCGATAATTAGATAAGACTATTCATAATTTTTTTCTGCATTACATGTATAGCTGAACGTAATACAGCATCAAAATAACAATTAATCAATCAACCAATCAGTCAGTCACATCAGAGGAAGGGACAACTCATAGGCAGCTGTACAGTGAACTGAAAAGGGGATTTATAAACCAAAATAAAGATACAGAAAACACAGGACCAAGAGGAGTAAAACCAAGGGACTGAGAACACCAAAGGGAGAGGCATGACAACAATGACCAAACAATGACAAGACAAGCGGACACTAACATACATGGACAAACGAAAGGTGAAGGACAGGCTTGTGTGATCGGTAGACCCAAGCAGAAGGGAACGGAAAGGCCAGCAGTGACCTCTGCTGGCCACTTGGGAACATGACAGACAGATCCTGACACAATCAACCAATCAGTCAATTTGAGGAAAGTTCCATGAAACCGTATGAAAACGTATACCTGAACATCCCAATCAGCCCACAACAAAAAGCAAATGAGAGACAGCAGAAGGAAAAATCTATACAGTTGTATATCCTCTTCTACTGATGAACTTGTACACAAGTGCAATATACAAGACAAGACAACATACAGTACAGTCGACAAAGCTGTAACCATGCTGGTTTGAATGGATATTTGAATAAATAATATTATTACAGATACTTTATTATGGCATATACATACTCTAGCAGCAGGACAGAGTGTGGAGTATATAATAAATGGCATATGAAATACAGTCCGTGAGTCAACTCTGATTCAGAAGTCTGACGGCCCGAGGAAAGAAGCTATTTCCCATCCTGGCAGTGAACCTTTTACCAGATGGAAAGAGGGAGAGAAAGGTGTGGGAGGGGTATGTGGGGTTTTACACAACGCTGGTGGCTTTGCAGATGCAGTGTGACGTGTAAATATCTGCAACGGAGGGGAGATGGTGATGGCATCATCTGTTGAGTAGTTGGGACAATACGCCAACTGCAGGGGGTCCAGTGAATGGGGGAGATGTGATTTTATGTGCCTCATGACGAGCCTCCCGAAGCTCTTCATGACGATGGGTGCGAGTGCGATGGAACAGTAACCGGTGAGGCGGGACACTGGAGACTTCTTTGGTACGGGGATGATGATGGTGGCTTTGAAACATGTTGGAACGACAGTGGTGCTCAGAGAGACATTGAAGATGTCCGTGAAGACATCTGCCAGCTGGTCTGTACGTCTCGTGAGCGCATGACCAGGAGTGTTGGGCCGAGGGCCCACGAGCACTGGCTTGATGTTTATAGCACTGGATTTTGGCTGTCATACTAATCACAGCCTTGCCCTGCTCATGTTATCTGGGAGTTGATTAACCAATTAACCGATCACTTCTTTTAATGTTGCACACAAGACTAAAACACAAAGCAAGCACGTCATAATAGATGAATTACCGTAGGTACATAGACATAAGCATTATTGCCACTGCTTTCGTAATTATATGTCACATCTTTATTAATAACACTACAGACACAGACCACTCAGGTAGACAACAATACATTGGTTTTTCTTCCAGTGCTCCTCACTCAAAATGCATTACATAAGGAGCTTTTGGTGGACCGATTACAAAAGCTGTTTTTACAGGCTTGAGAAAGTTATTGCCATCTTCTTTTGTAGACACAATTTCTCAATCTACCCACAAACACACTCCATGATCTTGAAGGTCTCTCAGCCTTTGCACTCTGTGACATATATACTGAGATGTATAAGCCAGGCAATGAAAGCTTTCTTGCCTTGCCAAGAGTTGACATTTTGAAAATTATTTTTAAATGGAGCCAAACTTGGAAGAGTACCAGTAACTGCAACATGGAATTGCTCAGTGCTTGATAGAGTAAAATGATAATATGGATTTTATTTTGGTCATTACTGTCAGGCTTTCTGAACCTTAGTCCAGTGGCATTCTAAATACTTATACACATTGACTGTTTCATCAGGTACCTAGGACCCAATTTTCCCTCTAGGTAGACGGGTTCACTCAAAGTCAATGCCAATGTCAAATTCCTTCTGATGCCACTGTACTCTATGATAAGTCAAGAAGGCAGTTTAATAGAGCAAGAGCAGCTATGGCAAAATGCAATATCTGTCCGATAAACATCATTGAGAAAAATCTCTGTGACAAATGTATTTTTTAAAATACAGTGAATACTGCTACAAAGTGACTAATGCGCTCACTGAAATCTCACACCAAAATACTGCACCACCACCTGATTACTATCAAATGCCAGTGCATGGAACAAGGGGGAAACACTGGAGGTGCTAGATACTGAGCCACACAGCCTGCCTTGCCAAGCAGACCCTGCTACCCATCAGCCTTGTGCTGCAGCAGAGTCAGCCAGCAGAGAGCATGCAGTAGAGGAGCCAGTGCAACACGACCCCCGCAAATTGTGATGGCAGGTCGTCTGTCACTGCCTGAAGGTGAGAAAGGTGCGTTCCACCCCCTCACACCCCAGAGCACCACTCCCAGGAGGACTGCGTCACCATCTGCTCTCCATCCCGTGGGTTATAAGGGTTGAATAACATGTATGAGGGTTGTTTAACACCCACAGGAAGACGGGGTTGTGCCCCAATTTGTCCAAGCAGTGGATAGGACCCTGTGAGGTGCTGTGGCAAGTGTCAGTACAGTGCACTAGGCTGGGGTACAAGACTCTTATGGTTCCCTGGGACCACTTAGCTCTGTGCAGCCCCAAGGGACCTACAAAGGGTGTGACAATGACCACACCAAGGGAACCCAGAATGCCTGGCTCACGTGACAGACACCCTCTCCCAGCCAGGCTCGGGGACGGCATGCTGCGAGACCTCACGGGAACTACTGGGAAGTTGCCAGGATGGTGCTGTGTGGCGGTACATGACATCAGCTTCCCATCGTGCAAAACGACACCCCCTTGTGTTTAATGTAAATAGATCCCCATCGTAAACGGGTTTAGTTAAGCTGTTATAGGGTTTAGGCACTTTACTACTGTAGTTGTTCTGTGAAGCTTTTTGGCAAATGTACCGTAACAATCGGCGGCCGCTGTTAGGGGGGTCAGATGCATTTGACTTTAATGTTCTCCAACTAATAGAGCCAGCATTAGGAAGCAAAAGACAATTTTGAAAACCGATGTTATTTATGCAACGCTTTGCAGTAACATTTCACGGTTTTTACAAAATTGTAACTCGCTCTGATTTCTTGTTTAGACTATCTTACTTCCACCAGCTTGATTATTTTTTTTTCTGTCGTTAACTTCGCTTTCCACCATCTGAATTTTCGTCAACAAAATGTGCTTACGTTTGTGTTTCGCCTGTTCTCAGACATAACAAAATGTTAGGCGACATATATAACAGTAGTAGTAGTAGTAATACATTTATTTCAGACCCAAGTAGCATACGTGTTTATATAAGGGCCGCATTTCGTTCATAAAATCGCTCCATGTACAGCCGGTGCCGCGATCCGCGCGCATTGGGAATCACCGCGAGCTGTCGGTGTGGGAGGAGCTTGAATCTGTTGTGCGTAATCAGCCGGTGGCCAATCAGAATCGAGGGAGTTTGTCCTCGCTTTAGGGTCGCCGAGTGGCGATTGACTCGGCTTGCAACTGCGTTATTCAGTTTGATTACGGGAGGATATTAAACTTGTTTTCATGTGCTATGTGCCTAGATGCTACTAATCATTTTTAAATTAAACCCTATAAAATATACCATTATTACTAAATAATTTTTAATTTAAATGGCATCTAAACCTTTGTCTGAAGAGTTTGCAAATTTGGACGAGAAAGCAATGAAATGCGAACTTTCTTCAACCTGCATATGCAAGAAACAATGTAACAATTGTAAAATCTTCCTGGCTTTCTTCGTATTGTCCCTTACTTTGCATTTGATCACGCTTTCCTGCTATTTGGATCTCCGATATGAAGTCAAACGCGAGATTTTACAGAAAAACAGAAATGAAGGTTTAACAGCGGGTTCAGATGAACTGTTTCCCCCGGAATTCCAGAGGGTGGACGTCGGCTACACTACAGCGGATACACAGGTAACAAAACATCAAATATACAAATAACGGCTGGTACGGAAATTAAGCTACATTCAGCATATTCATTTCTACAGTATGGATAATTTTCCACTTCAACTTTAAATTGGTTGACTAAACTTTAAAGCGAATTTTTAAATTCCCGGACGGGACGGGACGGGGCGAAATTCCCGATGAGGTTAATGAGGTCAGTTTCGGAGACTCTGACCCTAGTAGTAGTACATATTCGCACAAGTTCTGTTGGGCTTCTGTAGTTCTTACCTTTGAGAATGAACAGTGTCATAGACCATTATTTTCTCCTAAAGGGATACATTAACTTTACTTAGACAATATTGTCGTGTCAGCTAGTGGTGTATATACTGAGATCATTAAAAGATAACTTGTTGTCAATGGCTTAGTGCTGCAACAATGAAGTGTTGTAGAACACTATTGTATTGCCTGAGGATAAACATTCTTTATTATTATTATTATTATTATAATCTGGCCCTTGATTGCACCATGGCTATAAGCTTAGGAGGGACATGGTTATGTGTCACCTTTTTGCTTGGTGATGCCATTAGTGTTTAACAATAATAAAATACATTACCACACAGTTCTTCATTTTTCAGTTTCATATTTTCCTTATAGCTGTTATTTTAGCTAAACGGGCTCTTGTGAAAATGAAATTGCAAAGTATCACCCTTACTCTGTCATTAAGGTACACATTAATTTGTGGTTCTATCTCATTTTCTATCTCTTTATGTATTTTCAGATCCTGCTAATCCCTTTAGGGTCATTGCTGCTAAATGTATCAATATGTGCCATGATTATCTCCATCTGTCTTTAGTAAGACTCAACTCTTACACTGTTGTTCAGTATTTATGAAATGGTTGTAAATGAAGTGTGAGAGTAGCTCAGTGTCACAGGTATTGCATTCCGTTCTGGAGTTCAAGGATCATAATCACTTTGGCTTGGTTTGTCTTTTGTCTTTCCTTTAATCATATACCGGTTACTTAAAATATACTACCTGAAGTTTCATATTTTAAGAAGGTATCAAAATTTACTGCAGGCTCTAATAATTACTTCATCAGAGGCTGTGAAGTAATCAGGTAATATAACTTGTCCTTAGGTGAAACTCAAAAGTAGTTGCTAGTTCTGCAAATAGTTGTTTTTTTTCCTGGACAGTGGAAACTGGATGGTTTTATCTCATTCAACAGATGCACGTTGTGGTCTTACAGTGAACGGCCTGGTGTTATGTGCTCAGATGGGCAGCGAAATCGGCATGTTGGACAGCAGCATGCTCCTCTCCTGGGGCACGTGTACATTCTGCACCCTTCCTTTAACCAGCCACTTCCACATTTTACTGTAGCCCAGCCTGGTTTTGGAGCTGTGCAGGAGAGTAATCCTTGAGGCATGCTTTTTATGCTCTTGGAATTCAGTCAAACAAAATGTGAATACCTTCTCTCAAGTATCGCTACTGTCAAACTGTCAGTATGGACATCGTGGGAAAGACACCAAACCTACTACAGGTGGGTCATTGCCTACTCAGACAATAAGAAAATGATGGTACAATGCCAAACCATGGGCTGTAAAACCACGGAAAGTGCAAGCAGCAAGCCACACCAGTTTAAGGTGAAGGGGATTCCTTTCAATTACATGTGAATTAGAAGAATTTAGACAGGAAATGTTAAAATTCCGTCTGGCTGCTGTCGGCAGGATAATCAAAAGAGACGTATAAAATGTCATGGTTTGCTGCAGTTGTGTAGCTGGCACGAGTTCAGACTCCTCATCATGGCCTGCAGTGTGTGCAGTCACACGGCTACTATTCACTGCAGAATTTCCAACATTAGTTTACAAATTTCATGGGTCCTTGCATTGTTCATTTATCATTTGACATGCCACAAGTAATACTGTTGCTTTTCTAAATTTAATAATTTGGATTTAAGATGCAGTGCTTACAGACAGACAGTCTGTGTAAAAATGTTGCAGATTTATTGGTTTCATAACAAAAGTCTGTTGACAAGCAATGTTTAACATATCTGTACATATCTTCCACACAGAAATTTTCTTTTTAAGTGTCAGACACACAAAGAGACTGCTTGTCAATGAACTTTTTAACTCAGAACAGCACTTTTAGAATTACAATTTGGGTTTCTGTTTATTACTACTTGAAATGAATGTTTTGCTTAAAACCACTGGTTGTTTCTAATGTAATAATGTTTTTGTAAACAAATGAATAAAGTAAGGGTCCCAAGACACTCTGTGAGCACCGTATAAAATCAGCTTTATTACCTTAACACTGTATTTTCGCACTGAAGCCAGATTTCTTTTTCTTTTTTTAATGCAGTTTTCCAGCTGACGGCGTGAAACATCTGAGTAGGTCGTACTTAGTCGGCAAAAGATCTGGTGCCCTCCCTTACCTTTGCGATTAAATCAAACCCTCTGCTCTTGAAAAATTTCATCTAACAGGAAATGACTCTAATTACTCCTCAGTGGGATGGAGCAGTTAAACTCCTTAAAATAAAGACCGTGGAAGAGAGTGCAGGGCAAACACAGCCACTGCCAGCTTAATGCTTAATTACAATCAATTTATTCTCAGCAAGATATCCGGACTCCTGTATATCATCAAGTAGTGTTCATCCGGGTATGCTGAAAAAGAAGTTAAACATTTGCAGAAATGCTTTCAGGCCTCAGAAATCTCAAAATGCATGTCCAGGAATTAAAATGCCAAAAGGAAGGTTAACATTTTTGCAGGTTTTCTACAGACAATGTTTGACAACTTTGAAATTAAATATTTGTGATGAATGACCAGTTTAGGATGAGCTGAGGTGTATGATAAAACATGCTATTATTTACCATTATTTGTTGCATTCTGGGCTATAATATATTTGGACATAGTCATTGAAGTGTTACTGAATTTGAGTCTATCAGTCATCAATATCACACAGGATATTTTATATTGTCTGTTTCATTGTAATTGTTTCATGATTTTTCTGCTTGGAATTCTTAAGCAATATTTATATTTATCTTATGTATGTTTTTCTGTTTCCTACTTGGCATAAACTAAATTTTATATGTAAACAGCCGCGGGGAAGAATTCATTAAAGGGAAGTAACTATGCTTTTAAAAGAGAACCCTCAGAGTCCCTTAAGTGTCTGGACTAAGCTTCTTAAATAGTGCCGCTGGCCCAGACATTTGCTTTACTTTTTTTCAAAACATGCAATCGGTTAGTTTAGCATTTTTTATTATGAGTTTATATTAATGCTAAATTACACACTGAAATTCTTATTGCCACAACCAACCTTACCCTTAATACCGGATTCTTGGGTTATTTCCTTCGAGTACCGCAATGCTTTATACATGATTGAACAACCATTAAGGCATTATTATTTATATAATAAAATGAATTATGCTTATAACAGGGAGGTTTAGAACTGGATGTTGTTCTTGGACTAAAAACATATTCTTATTGACAAATAACCATACTTATAAAATTGTTGAAGTTTGCTCTTATTGGGAGTTGAAAAATATAGCAAAGTGTTTGTTTCTGTAGAAAGATACTAGCATAGGGCCTCACATGTACTCCATGGTGTGAGAGATGGAAAACAATTGTGAAATGTGGATTTTATCAAAACAGCAAAGAAAAACCCACATGCACAAAATACACTACAGCTACCTTTCTAACTAACTAACGCAAAAGCAGCACCAACACGGTGATCAACAAAGAGCATGTGGGGGGTTGGGGGGATCAACACAACCAACGAACAATGAAAGCAGAAAACATGATACCAAAGCAACCATAATCCAGAAAGTGCTGGGCGGATTGTGTCTGGTCATAGACAAATGGCGCTTTTCCACTGCTCCTAAGAACTGAGCCTTACCTGAGCAATACCACGAACTGGCGGTTTTCCACTACAACGTATCGGAGCTGTACCCAAGCCATACCACGAACTGGCGAATTCCCTTTGTAGAGTATGCAAGCCGTACCCGAGCCGTACCACAAACTGGCGATTTCCCTTTGTAAAGTATGCAAGCCGTACCCGAGCCGTACCACNTTTCCCTTTGTAAAGTATGCAAGCCGTACCCGAGCCGTACCACGAACTGGCGATTTCCCTTTGCAGAGTATGCAAGCCGTACCACAAACTGGCGATTTCCCTTTGTAGAGTATGCAAGCCGTACCCGAGCCGTACCACGAACTGGTGGTTTTCCATTGTAAAGTATGCAATCCATACTCAAGCTGTACTCCAAACTGGTGATTTTCCATTGTAAAGTATGCATGCTGTACCCGAGCTGTATCCATGGTGACAGAGCCTTGCTTACTAGCGTGATCAAACCAAGCTGGTTGCATCACCACCATCTGATTGGCTGAAATGCACAGATACCGGTGTTCTGTGCATGGATTATCTGAAGGAAAAAGCGTACTTTACTCAACAGCTCAGAGAAAACATCAGGAATACACATGCAAGCCTATATTGGCAATGAAGAAAAACTTGAGCTTGAGTTCTTGTTTCAGTTGTAAACGATTTGCAATTTTACAGCAATTCAAAAGAAAATTATTTATGTTCTGCACAATTAAGTTTAGCTAAACCTTTCAAAATAAAACACATTTATAATCATTTGTCTCTTATGGCCTCTGAGTGAAATCTGCAAGCATCTAAAGTTGTTTATTGCATATAAAAGCTCCGTGTGTTGCATGCATACTTAGCAACTCTGGCTTCCATTTATTTATGAACAATATCTATTAAATTCTACATGCATCTAAATACTTTTTATTCCATCGTGAGATCTGGTTTAAAATAATAATAATAAAAAAAAGCGTTTCATTATGTGGCCTGTTTGTTTAGCCTCTGTTTACATATTTGGTTTAAACTCATTCTTAGTGGAAATTACAACACAGTTTTGTTTTGGGTGAAACATACAATGTTGATGTTCTTTCTCCATCTAACAGCAAACCAAGCAGGAGCTGAAAGATAATCATTTGGCAAGAAACAATATGTTACAATGTTACTTAATGTAGACTTTTT